ATCAACGCACACATATACTCGCCTACTTCAACACTACACTGAACCTAAGTGACCTCCCTTGCCTCTGCTATGACTTACTGTACTCTGCTTATCCTTTTTCCCCCTGGCTGACTCTGACTACCACCAGGACTACTAACACCTCTACTGTACTTGAGGCCATTAGTAGATACAATACAACTAGTAACTAGAAAAAAATAATCCGGACACGTTTATATTCTAGGCACAGAAAGTTCAGCACTTGCTTGTAATTTTCAGGACATCACTTACTTGTTTTGGCTGTACCAGATCTAGAGACACTTGAATAGAAGGCAGTTTTGTATTCGAGGCACGCAAAGTTGCACAAGACACATCACTCTAGTACATCAGAAAATGCACCATTAAAAATAGGGAAGATTCAAATCTAACAAACTGATACTTTTTGTGGATTATATGAGAAATCACCAATATGTGCCTACTACCGCTGTCAGCCTACCTAGGCATGCATCCACAAAAAGAAACATTGCAAAACAACTTACCACTATCTTCACAACGATTTAGACTCGTATTACTACAAACACATCTAGTAAATATCTGAGAATTTCTCCTCCTATTACAACTCACATGAATACAAATAGAGTGAGATGCTTTGGAATTTGTACACAACAAACAAACATCACGCAGGATGGATCAAACACAACTTAGTTTCAGAGATACAAACTGAATCACACATAATGGATCTCCCCTGTCTGTTAAACACTCTCACACAATCACAAAAACACACAAAAAAAAGTCATCACTGGTCGCATAGCACACAAGAAAAACCCTATACTAATCCCCCACCCATCCCCCATCCCCACTACTAAGAAAAAAAACAATAATCCCCACTGTCTAAATGCGCCAACTGAACTAAAAACGCTCACCCCCACTGAATCTCTCTGTTTGACTTGGGGCAAACACTAGAACATGTATCAACTCCCGGACCTACGACCCACTAAATCTCTAGACACAAAAAACTACCGGCCCACTGAATCCCTACACAAGATTTGTCGATTGGGGCAAACCCTAGATCGATGGATACACAAAAGAAGAACAAAAAAACAGGAACACAAATAGGGAGGGAAATTACTCACTTCAGTGCGGGCGTCTCTCCTCCCTTCTCACTTCGCTGCGGGGGTCTCTCCTTCCTTCTCACTCGCGACAACGCCGTCGCCTGGAACCCCTTTGGAGAGGAAATGGTGTGGACTGACCAAAGGAATGGGAGCAGCCCCCTGCCCTCACGATAGAACAAACAAAACGAGTGCTGAGAGAAAATGTGAGGCAACAGCCCACAACCGAGACAAAGTAAAATGGCCCACCGGCCAAAAAATTGCGAAAACAAAAAAACAAACAACAGCCCGCCTCCCACTCGCATGGCCGCGGATGCGGTCCGTCGCGCCCGACAACGCCACGCGAGCTAGCGCGCGAGCGACACAATCCAATTGCACGAATATTAAAGACAAACAAGATCCAACGGTTCTTGAGTTAGATGTGAGATAACTATTTCACATCTAGATGTGAAATAGCAAATCTGAAATACTATTTGCCGCATAACATCATCAGCAGAATTTCACACATCATATCGTCAGCAGACAAGTGGTCCTTCACTAAATCACTGAATAAGGTGCTTATCACTCCCATGACTGCAAATGGAATATAAAAGTTTAAGTCTTGGGATTTGGATAACAAAGTTTAAGCCCAATAATGATCATAATTTGGATAACAAAGTTTACTAAGTGAGGCTAACAAATGCATGGAGGTTGCCCATACCAGAAACCAATACGGATCACAGAAAGTTCAGTACAAATTTGGAAAGCTAATCAGTCAAATTCCCTCCATATTGAATCACCATTGCTCCAAACTCAGAGCATGCATACATCAGCCAGAGAAACCGAGAGCCAAATAAAAGCAGACATACCATAGCACGAATAACTGAACCCGATCAGAGAGCCACTTCTTATGAAGGCACCAGCAATCTCGTATTAATGTCAAATGTGCAATGATTGTGACTCTCTGTACAACGGCACATACGGTAGAAATAGCGGCTTGACATCTGCATGATGAGAGATCACTTTGACCTGCTGATTATCCATATTATAGCACATGAATGTGATATCCCCCACAGTGAAGAACAGCAAGTTGCAATCCGGATGAACCGCAATAAAATCAAAATCCGCATCAAGCCATGAATCTGTCCATCCAGATATGTTTGAAGTTTCAATGCTATGCTTTAATATCCACTGTTCGTCTTGATAGTTCTCCAGAACATAAACTAGTAATCGAACGGCAACACCATCTTTATCCCTCTGAAAATTGGCATAATGCAAGCGGCCCTGCGACCGCTGAATAAAACCGTAAGCCAGATCAAAATCATCAAAAGGATCACCAGGGGCCACGAGTATCGACCGCTGAACAAAACCATCAAGCTGACCACCAGGGACCCTGAGTTTCATCCATATTTCCCCCTTTGCGTCAACCGCGGCTACACAGTCATGCAATTCAAGGTCAAGGGCACGAAAAAACAGAAGGCCACTGAGAAAAACTGTCGCGGAGGAGTGCCGACTAGCAAACCAAGTAGCTCTGCTCCATCTCTTCTCCTTAGAAACCCATTCTCCGGTTTCAGACGAATACACTGTCACTCCGGAAATGTCGGAATTCTCGCCGTACTTGTGCTGCTGCACCAACTCAAACACATGGAAATGCGGCGATAGGGCCGGGTCGAAGCCCAAGGATGTGGTGGCCACCTGGCTGCTGTCCTTGCCGGAGTTGGGCAAGACGACCCACTTCTCGGTCGCGGGATTGCACACGACATAATGGAATGCGCCGACCCCATCGGAAACGTGGTGAAATCGGCAGAGGAGGAGGCCGTTGCAGGAGTCGAGCAGATCGACGGGCAGGTGGTGGTTGGGCAGGAAGGTGAAGGAGGTGCCAACCGGAGAGCGGACGTCCGTCGAGAGGCTGCTGAACTGGACGGGCAGCTCCACAACCCGTTGCCCGGTGATATTGGTAATGCGGCCGTAGAAGAAGCCGGCCAGGGTTTGGGGGAGCCGTTTGTGGTGGTCGGGGTGGTGGATGAGGCCGAGCCAGTGCTTGGAGACGCACTTGCAGCGGCACAGCGACTTGGTGGGGACGCGTGAGAGGATCTCCACGAGGAGGTCGTCGGTGAGCCTCTCGGCCGGCGTCCGGCTGGGGAAATCGGAGCAAGATCTGCGGAAAGAAACACAAACGGAGGAGAGGTCAGGGGAGCTGCGAAGGAGGGGGAGTTGATGGTGCTGGCTCCTCTGCTTACTGGGCGCGAGTCGACGCGCGGCCTTCCTCATGCGGGCGAGGGCGGCGCCGTCGGTGGCGAACGAGGAGGCAGGGGATTTTTTTATTTTTTATTTTTCGGAGGAGAGAGAGGAGGCAGGGGCGTGAAAAGAACAATTAGAGTTTCAATCACATCCTTTAAAAAAAAAGAGTTTCAATCACATACACAATACTGTACGAGGGCCACAATAATGTACTACTAATTGGAATGGCAGCTGCTTACAATCAACCAGATGATAGGATCGTTTCCTCTTTGGCTAGCGACAACAACCCTAGCTTTAGGTTTAGGTCCTCCGTGGTGAGGGAGGTCGCCAGATCCCATGCGTGCAGATAATTTTAGCTTTAGGTTTTAGAGCCCGGGTGGCTTCGGTTTTTGGATTGTCTAACGTCTTGGCTTCAACGGCGGCGACGACGATGCTGAATACAGAAGCTACGGATTGTTCTCCGGCGAGGCGATCGTCTCTATGGTTGGTGATGGATTTGGGAACCAGTCTGTTCAAGCGGGGATATCGTGGCAGCGATGACATCCTTCTAGTGGACTTGTGTCCTTGTGCTCCACCATTGCGACGGTGTCTGCTCCAGTGTCGCGGAGCTTGGGAGGTAGTCCAGGAGCAGATGCAGATTGTGGTCTGCATCGACGACATCTGAAAGAAGGAACATGCACTACAAGAAATATGTCAACTTGTGACCACCATATTGGTCACTAAAAGGTCACTGTTTTCAATTTGTGACCTTTTTGTGACCAAAAACATAAGGTCAAAAGCTGATGGTTGTTAACTGACTATAGCGACCTTCTCTGTGAGAAGGTCGTAGACGTTTACGACCAAAACAGAAGGTCGTTGAACCCATGACCTTTTGTTTTGGTCACTGGTTGTCTGCCCAGGCCACGTCGGATCCAACGTGGCAATCTGACGTGGCAAAATTGCGACCAAATTGAAAAGGTTACTGACAAGATTCTGCCCGGTCCAATTGGTGTTTTAGATGGGCCGAGCCCAACAATTCAGCCTTTTTATATTTTTTTCCATTAATTTTTGGTCGGGATCATGGGCCAAGCCCAATATGGCAGCCTTTTTTATTGTTGGGCCGCGACCATTTTGGCTGAACAATTTCATTTCTTTTTTTATTAAATGGGTCCACTAGTCAGATGGGTCCCAATTGTTAGGTTCTGGTAACAGGTTTCCATTTGTTAGGTAAGTGGGTCCCATCTATCAGACTCATATTCTTCATATTTCAAGCAGTATTTAGATTGGCAGAGACAAAAAACACACATAATACTTAAACAAGTGCAACCAGATCACATAATAAAGCTCTATGCGTGCCATTACAAAGGGCCATGTATAATACAATACTTTACAAGCTCTACAAGTGTAATATAGTACTACTTCACAAGCTCCTGGACTCGCTGGACTCTCTCATATTTCTATGCAACTTCAACAGGACAAAAACTTCGGTAGTCAGGGCTGGAACCATAGTCAGATGAACAACACGCCGGACTCGCTCGACGGCGATAGTCAGGGCTGAGACCAAACAAAACAGCAACATGGCTTCATCTGTCATCCTGTTACATGAATCAGAGAAGAATGAGAAAAACTGGGGCAAATATATTATGAACAGACCATTCAAGAAAAGGACATGTATTTAGAATGATAACACAAATTTTTTAGCTAGTACCATGCATTTTGTTGTCGAGCTAGTTAAAATGAGATAGTAGTTCATATAAGAAACAGAGACACAATATAAATATGCATGGCACATATGCAGGTTGTGCAAAAAACTGCACTACAACACATTGCGCCTAAAACAAAATACCATTCTACTATCACGACCATACATTCAACTGGCAAGATCTAACAATACTCGTCAGCACACGCAAACTAACATCACAAAGGCAGGAGTGAATAAAGGGAACCAAGGAAGATACCTGTGGATGATAGTGTCGACGATGATCTGGATTGAGTTAGCATTGATGAGGAAGTGGATGGTGTCCATGGTGTGCTTTAGATGCACACAACCATGAGCTTCTTGCCGCTGTTGCATCCATTCGCTCAATGATGGGTACCAATGCATTCAAGTAGAACAAAACCACCAACATTAACCCATATATCAAGTGACACTGAAAACAAGTTGAGAAAAGCACTGTAAATATCTATTTCATGTCATGCAGAATTCAAACCGAATAAACCTATGCATACGAAGGTGAAATATTACAAAGAAAGCACTCATCAGGTAGCATGCATACAAAATCTCTGTGTTGGCAGTAGTAAATACTCTCTGTGTTAGCAGTAGTAAAACTCATGCAGTACCAAGTTAACAACTTTGAGTCAGAAAAGCTAGAAGTGTCTCTTAAGAGAGACCAGAACTTAGAATTAAGGCACATATCATATTCTGAACAGCATCAGCACCATGGTAGTAACAATTAACAGTAGTTGGACATCAATGGGGCACAACTTAATTAACTACAGACGGATGGACAGACAATTACCTTCTTGAGGCAGGGGCGAGCGTCCTTGAAGTCGAGGAGGATGAGCGTGAGGGCGGCGCTAATGGCACTCCAGGACATGTTGAGGCCGAGCACCTGCGCCACAAGCATGCCCAAGGTAGCAGTGCATACAAAATCGCTGTTTTAGTAGTAGCAAATACTCCCTGTTAGCAGTAGTAAAAACTCATGCAGTACCAAATTCAAAGATTTTTTGTTATAACTAACTGAAGTATGGAACAATAGTTAACAACTCAAGTCAGAAAAGGTAGGAGTGTATCTCTAAGAGACACGACTGACACTGATCAAAGATAATTCATTATGTATCCAAAAACAGGAGACGCTCTGTTCTACATTCAGTACACAGAATAGAGACAGTTAGCCCTATGATTTGTGCAGTCATCTTGAACAAATCAAACCTATGCTACATTTGATTCAAAAGAGTCCAATCGTGCAGGTTGAAGTGACACACCACAGAATCAAGTCAATCCGTGAGGGAAAACTACCGGATCTTAAGAAAACAATGAACGTTAATTAGGCAATAAAGGAGATCTAGCTGCTAGTGGCATCGTAGGACTGGGAATCTGGCAAGCAAAACGGCAGCACATACCATGTGGTGGCGGTCTCCATTTTGACTTATGGAGCCCAGAAGAAAATCCACTTGAAACCGAAGAACTCTTAGATAGAGTCAATCAAGCGGGGAAGAACGGGTGGATTTAGGCGTCGTCCCATTGCTGGTTGCTGTACCTCACCTACAGAGAAGAAGGGAAGGGACGAAACGAGATTGGGGTTAGGGGGGAGACATTGAGAAAAAGGAGAAGTAGAAGAGAAGGGGGAGGAGAGATTCATACCGTAGCACCGCCGTTGTCGAGGTCTTGGAGGCTGCGGTGGGTCGCCATGGCCGTCGCTGGTCGCCGTTGCTCCTACCTAAAGAGGCAAAGACAGAGACGGGGGTGAGACAGAGGGAGTTTGAAGG